TAGAAGCTGTTTGCTGCTTCTTATCTCTACAGTGCATCACACACACTGTAACTGTGCATAAACCTGGAATTAACCTATTTGAAGATTCTTCGGAATGTTCTTTCTCTGCTCCCTGATTTCCCTAATCAAGAGTCTTTTGCAAGTAATAATGAACAAAAGAAACCCTTCAAGTGTTGGCTTAATCTAGAAGTCTAGTGGCACTACTCTGGCAAACAAAGGAGTTTTGTCCTCCAAAATTACACTTCTTGGTTGAGATAATGTTTTGCATATTTATCTGAGGCGCTTCACATGTTTAACATCTATTTACTAACTTGTGCTTGCATTTCCCTGGGAGGTCCTCTAGTACATAGCATTCCCCTATAGATGAAGTCAATGAGTTTCAAAGAGATGGAGACTCAAATTTGGAAAAGCACAAAAAACTTTGCACACTTTGTTCTTTCACTGCCTGGCTAAAAGAAAGCCCAAGCACCAGTCTCCGTATGTTAAATCTGTATTAGCTGCAAATGCCAGGTGCTGCTGGAAGGCAGCTCCCAGCGGTGAATAAACTTGTAATAGAGAATCAATCCGCTGGAATTGCATTTTCAAGGGAAAATGTCTTACTGAAAGCGTGTGGCCAGCAAATGTTTGAGCATGGCAAAGCCAGAAGAAGGTTATCCTAGCATGTTTTAGCTTCTTGTGATGTTCCAGACCACTCCAGCCTTATTCCTAAATAATGATCTAACTAGAATGACCGGTCATCACAGCCCTGCTCTGATCTTTCCCGTTACTCTGTGAGACAATAAAATAGCACAAGGAGTTCTTTGTTTACAAAGCACTATTGCTGAGGCAATTAGATGTGAAATAAGTGTCCCAGCATTGCTGTTGTACACGTCTCCTGTAGTTTTAGAGCAGGTATCTCTGAAAACATCTTCTGCCCTTCCGCATAGCAAATGAATACTGCATTCAAGCCTTCCTTCATGCTACAGGTCCCTGTATGCATTTGTAAATAAGGTGTGATTTTATGACCAATCAGCCAGGCTCCTTGGTGCTGTCCTAGTCGGGAATATTTTGTATAATATGTGTGATGATGGTCAAGCAGTTCCCCTGTCCTGCCCTTTCCACCCGTGTGCTCTCTCATGCTGCCTAAAGAAGCTCCATGTGCAATAGCTTGAATCCCTTGATAAACTCACAACGTCAAGAGACATCAAAGATGTCCAGCCCTGTTCATCAGCAAGTCCTAACTGATCTCTTGAGCAAGGCTAGAGGACTGCTAAAATAAGTCTATACAGTAACCTATTCATCAGCTGCTCTCAGGAACTTCCACGTATTTTACAGGAGGAATTTATTTAAGGCATGCTCTTATCTAAGAGAATTCATAAAGCCTTAAGAGATGACATATTATATATATTTTTAAAAGCTCCCTGATTTTATATGAACACTTGAGATACGGTAATCTGTGAATTTATTCAGATTTGTAGCTCAGCATAAAGCTGTCTGGTTTTTGGACAGACCTTTTGATTTACCATCCTGTGGTGAAATCGCTGCAGGAATCTGGAGAAGGTCCAATTCTATTTGTTTAAAGTCCTGATCATGTGGCTTTGGCATTCCTAACATATCCAGCAATCATTTGCTTTTAATTACCATTCATTTCAACCACATAAGTAATGAATGTGGCTACCACATCCAACTTACAGGCTGTGTAAACTCTTGAGCTGGGTGGAACTTTCTTCTATATAGAGGCTTAACTATAAATTTAACTCAAAATGTGAATCCTCTTAACTTATTTTAGGCAGGCCTTTATAAGTTTAAAATAAAAATAAATAAAAAGGAAATGAAAAAAGCTTTAAATGAAAGATTCCACACAATACACCTGATTCACTTCAGAAGCAATTTCCTGGCCTCCCCAACCTCTTGGTATGACTGTAGAAACCTTAAAAAAACAAGTTGATTTAACGTTTCTATTTATTCATGGTGTCCAGTTTCCAGAGGAGTCTGTGACTTGTAGTTTTAAACTCAATTTAGCATTTAAACTCATTTTCAGCTGGGTCCCAGTGGAGCAACAATTAGAAAAGGAAAAGAGTTCAAAGAAGAAGGGTTATAACCTTTCAGCGGTATGTTTGCCTGGACTTTAAAAAAAAAAAAAGCATCTCTGTTACTATTCTTCCTATATTTGGCAAAGACTAGGTCAGACAGCTGGGTTGCGAACCTGTTGGTATAGAGAACTTCATGGTTAGGTACAAACCAACACTCAGAAGGCTTTCATGGCAGCTGAGGTAAAGATTCCTTTTTTTAGGGGTACTGTTATTTGTGTCATGCTGAAAGCCTAGTATCAGCAGGCCCAACTTCTCTTGAGACAAAAGAAACCTCACATCAAATCTGAGCAAGAGGAACCTACGAAAAAACACAAAGAAAAGCTGTGCTGTTGCACACTTTAAACTTGTGTTAAACCTAAGCATCTTTTGCTGTTGAAGGCTCTGGTTGAGACTGGTGTCCCAGCAATCCACGTGCTATATATCTGTATCTGCATATATCTGTATCTATATCTATAGCTATATCAGGAGCCAAGCAGGCCTTGCAGGCAATGGTTGGAGGAGAAACAGAGGTACCGTAACTCTCCAGAAGTCATAACTGGCCAAACTGGGAGTCAAGCAGTAGCCTGCAAGTCAGGACCTGGGGCCCCCATTTATTAAACTACAGCAGTTCCATCATGAAAAGCTGGAATCTGCACATGTGTTGGCGTAGTCAGAGTTAACCTGTGATTACTATAGTAATAGCACTTTCTGTAGCCAACAGTACCCTTATGAATGGGCTTCCAGTGTCATAAATTCACCCTTGAGATTCAGCCTCTGCCAAGACCTGGCTAGCAAAAATCTTATTTGGAAGCACAGTACTTCATGAATACCAATGGATAACTAGCTGGCTTGTTTGCTTTTCCCCTCCCTGAGTTCCCAATATGGAAGCCTCCCCTGGGAGCCACACTGCAGGCTCCCCCTGATGGGAGCACATGGGTACCCCCGGGCAGGACCTGCCCGTCCCGACACATGGGACTGCGGGGTGACAGCATGCAGGGTGACCCAGGCAGGCAGGCGGAGGCTGCTCGTATCTCCCACATAGAGATGTCACCCATTCAGGTCCGAATGGATTGGATCACGCCTGAGAAAATGGGCTTCATGAACGTGAATGAGAGTTTTCAGTCCTCTCACATTTTATTTACCTAATGTGGCTCAAGAAAGAGACCTCTTATGCAAGACTTGATCCCTTAAATTTTGGCATTATATTTTAGAGGCATATTTTAGAGGGGAAAAGTGATGCTACAATAGCAGAAGAGGCCAGCAGCAAAATTGTTACCAGTGTGTCCTAAAATTACAGCAGACCTAGACAAAAATCTTATTTTTATAAAGCTGGTTGACAGTACACATGATCATTCTGACTGCAATGAAATTACTACAAGGTAGAAATGTAAGCATTTACTATCTTATCTATCAGCCCATAAAAAGACAGCTAGATTTGACCAGAAAAAATAATGAGCTAGGGTGAATTAAAGCAAGATTTTTTCTCTGTTTCATGTAGTCGGAAGAACACCTACCATATTTTCTAGAACAGATACAACAGATAGCTGGTGTCAGGTAATTTGTACCTACAGATACCTGCAAGGAAGAGATTTAGGAAAGAACCCTCACTCCCAAATAAGCAAAGAGAAAGATGGCATGCTTGTTTGAATTAATCACAGAAAAGTAAAATTTTGATGAGGAACGTGCTGTCATTCACCTGCTGCTGCTGCAGCTCTCCATTTTGGGAAGACTTGTTTAAAAAGAAAAAGCAAATTTGTCCCTGGTTACTTGGAGAGAACACAAGAATGACAGAAATGACAGCAGCGCTCATACAGAGACACAGCTGACTGTGGATTAAAATTATCCCTGGCCAGGCTATTAAAACAATTAAAGGCAGATCACGTGAAGTCCTGAACCACTGAAATTTGATGTTCACAGGAGACAGATGCAACCCAGGGCGGACGGTTTCGAATGGAAGGGAAAGCCAAGGCTTTCTCATCAAAACTCTCCCTTCCCCGGTTGTTTTTTTCCTGCTATTGCTGATAAGCTGTAGCCGATTTTTGAGTCGGTTCCGACAAGATGATTAAAAATGGTGATTACCCGTTAGCTGGAAGCGATGCCGTGGCGGTGCCCAGCTGGAGCGCGGCAGCAGCCAGAAATGTGGTCCCAATCACCACCTGCCTTTGAAATGTCACCAGGAGAGATCTATAGGCAGCCCTCCCGCTACGGGCCATCAGTGTCTACTCCTCCTGTTTTGACTTTTATTTAACTTACTACAGGTTGATCAGTTCCCAATGAGGCTGAGGGCACTTTGAGGCCCCTTTGAAAACTGAATTATCAAATGGAATTAGAGCCCCATTCAAAATTCACCTGTTTTTCATTTCATTAATGTGTGTGCCTGCATCTGGATCCATGACCTGCACAGCCCATCAGTTTTTTTTCCTTAATGCTGCCCCTTTCATGTGTCTACCTTCCAATTTCCTCTTTTTCTCTTTAGGTTATGGATCATCCAACTTCCATATGCTGATACAATTTGATTTCTTCTCTCCCTGGCATTCTCGCAGCTACGCAAGCACCCACTGATGCCTGTTTCTCTTGTCCTTTTGCAGTCCTGAATCAAACTTTCTCTCTTCTCAGTTGCTAGCCTACAGCTGTGGTCCCAGCCAACCACTTCCACCTCTGCATACAAGTCCTTGGTTCCATCTTCAGAGTGGTTCTTAATTGACCTTAGTTCATCAGACTACTTTTTGCACATTTGGTGCAGTCTCCTGAACCACAGAAGAGTTACTACGCTCATGAAATATGCTCTGTGACCTTTATTTTCACTGGGTGCACCATCTGTAAGGGTGCAATCCACCTCTTGTCTTAGAACCACCACTACATTTTAGGTTACACTAGTGCACGGACTTCAGAAGAGCTGAGGGCTTTGTCGCTAGTATCTTAAAAGAGGGCATATATGCACACACGTACCTTGGCATTTTGAAGAGGAGGTTGGTAACTAGAGGGCCGATAGTACCTCCTCTGAGTAGCATCGGTATGAATGTCTCCGAGAAATAGCTCCTCCACAAGGTAGTCTAAATTGTGGTGCAGGTACTGCTTCTCCACGCGGATCAGCTGGAGTTCGTGCATGGCAAAATTCAGGGCTTTGGTGCATTCACAGCCATTCTCTTCTCTCAGCAAATCATAGCTCACATCCTGCTCCCAGGGGCTATGTTCTGGTATAAATCCAGGACATGTATGGTTCACCAACTCACTTAATCTTCTGGCTACCGCTTCATTGTGGCATATGATTTGTATGTTGCGTAGCTGATAATCAGCTTCAGTACCCCCTCGGATGATCCAGGATGCTTGGCGGAGACGTATTTTGCCACGTATGACTAACGTGTAGATAGGGTTTGTGCAGCGATTGCCACCATAATAAAACTGATAGGCCTTAAATGTGTTATTGTGGTAGAATCTGTAAGATCTTGTGATGAACTCTGGGCCTGCTCTAACTTCGCAGCTGCGGGAAGACAGAAAGTGATGGAAACAAAATTTTAGCAAGGTGGCACATCACCTACACTACAGGTAACAAGACTGAGCAAACCTGCTTGGGTCTACAGAGACACTTGTATGCTAACGTCCCTCTGGCATAAATGGGGGTAAATAGGAACTTGGCATCTGTGGCCTGCCAATTAACCAACAATTTCCCCTGCTGTTAGGCTGTTATTAATATACTGCTTCATGGTGATCGTATCTAACTAAGGGCTTTATCTTTGTAGGTTTAAATATGTTGAGTCACATTTTGCTCTTCCTTTTTGTCCAGGGACCACCATGTGACTCAATTCTTCTCTGAAAAAAGTAGCAGCTTATTAAACATCAATTCTTCTCTTTTGCATGGTAGATTTAGCAAAAGGACTGATAACGTCAGAAAGTGAATGCCAAACGTCCACAGAACAGTACATAGAACTGGCTTCCATGCTGCTGTAGAAGCTTCTTAGCGGAGCTCCACCAGCTCTGCTCTGCAGAGGATGTGCAGGATCGTGCCCTCAGCTTTTCCACTCAAACATTCAACAAGGGTGGCAGTTAATGCACATTTCTGACCGTTAATGCAAAACTTCTATTTGGCTTGAATTTGGACCATGCCATATTCATTTTCTGGTTTTAGTCTGTTTTTTTTTAAGGTGTAAATGGCAATTAAATTTCACTTCCTGAAGAAAGTCCTTTTGTGCCTTCAAACTTGTCCCCCTTGTCACATCCACACTGCTTAACATAAATACACTCTCCTTTCTGTTAAAATACCCCCGTCTTTCCTACTACAAGTCACTTCAAATAAGCATGTGAATATTGCCTGCTGAGACACAGAAAGCAAAATATTTCTCTGAAGTCATCATGTAGGGAGAGTAACAGAACTGGTGAAATACAGCTTCTTAATTTCTTTTGCTAATAAAACCTGTGCTAGAGATACGCTCTGAAAACAAGGACCCATTCAATGGATCTAATGCATGTCATCAAAGATAGTACAATGTGGTGTTTGAATAAGCATCCATTCTGGCAACTTGGGCTCCCTCCTATTCAAAGAGAGATTTAAAGATATTTCACAGCATGCTGTTTAAAATTCATCAAGACAGCTTTATAGCATGTTGTTCTACTGTACATAATGTCGCTCCTTCTCCTTTTATGCATAAACATATAGAAAGCATCTAGAATTTAGAGCATCACCATATTAAAGAAAATATTTCCCCTGCTGCTTAAAGTGGGAATATTCACCCTTCCCTCTCTGCTTCCTTCCCTTCTTCTCTTCCACATATATCACTCAGGCATCTTGTTTTATCTTTCCTTACCCAGTAGAGACCCAGTGTCCCTCAATATTGGGAGGCATCTGCACAGTGATCCGTGCTCCGTTGTGAAGGTGTTTCAGCATATGATGACACTGTGACTCCTTGAAAGCCCTCCATGCACTCTTCTCCAGGGACCGAGGGTGGGACCTGCTGTCCGGGTGAAGAAGAGCAGAACCTTCTCCCAGCCCTGTGATAGAAAAGTGTAAATCATCATGAGACTCTGCTGAGAAGGGCTTCAACACGATAAAGGAGGTTGTGAACAGCTTGTGTTGAATGACACTTGTTCGCAATGTTACATGTCTAGGAAAGTTCTCATCTGACAAAAAAAAAAAAGGGAAGCTCTTCCTCTCTGTCAGCTCACTAATAACCCACTAAATAAATTTGCTTTACAAAATACACTGGGGAGAAGGGCTTGAACCAAAATGTTGTGCTTCCACACCCAGGACATGTGGCTCTAAACCTAAATTTTATAGACACCTCTGTAATCTCTGGTTAGGACAATCAAAAACCTGGACCGTGGAACTTTTAGAAAGTTGCATCCAGATCCGGACATAAACTCCGCGGTTTCAGCCCACCTCTAATTTGAACGCTTCTATAATAAACTTGCAAATAAAGACTACTCTTTAAAGCAAGGGAAAACAGATATTAAAAGCAAAGGCTCTGCACACAGGAAGCCTCTGCGATGACTGATGTGGTCAATTAAAGGCAGATTCTGCTATTTTTATTTTAAGGGGGAAAAGGAATTTCAAAAGCTAATTTTATCTCCAGCACACAGTAATTTTGGTTTCTAGTAATGTATACATACAAAACCCACCAGCGCTCTCTCTACACAATATTAATTGAACAAAATGAATACGTAGCTTCAGAAAGAATGCGTCTTTACTCTTTTAGGCACAGCCTGCTCTTAGATACGTTGGAAAACATGGATCAAAAGAAAAACACACATCTAGAGGTTAAGAGGTGAAAAACATGAACCTTACATAATGGGTTGGAAACTGTATTACTTTGCCAGAAGGAATTTAAGAACCAGCAGGCTAGAAAATGAATACAGGGTGGGGTGGAGGGGCTGGTGGCGTGCCCGGGAGGTCGGGGCAGCCATCTGGGGAGAGGGGTGTCCTGCTAACACGTGCTCCCAGGGGGAGTGTCTAGGATTCACCCCCATCTTTTGTGGTGCCCTCTTGGCTGACCCAGCTCAGGAACTGGGCTGTTGGGGATCACCAGTGCATGGTGCGACCCTACACTGTGCTGAGCCGCTTAGGCACGGGCTTGGGCAGCGCGCCGCATCGCTACAGAATTAACAGGAAAATCAGTATTATTCGGTTTTAGGTAGACACTGTTTCAAACCTTTGCCATTTCCTACTTCAAAAAAGAAATGGTGTCAGTGATTCATTATGTTGGCTAGGTCTTAGATCTTCCGGAAGAAACTTGGGTAACACCTGGGAAAATGGCACTATTAAAAATATAAATACCTGTCAACCATTTAAAAATAGCAATTCCTAAGCTAAACAAAGGCAAGGACTTTCCCAAGTAGGCAGGGTAAAGAATGATCAGAAAGAATACAATAAATACTTGAATGTAAACAGTGCCTGCTGCTGAATGATCTCAAGATGTAATGAGATTAACGACTACAACCTCACAAAGTCTTTACTGGAAAACCTGGCGGCTTTGTTGCTGGTTACAAATAATTCTTCCATCTGAATGAGAATTTATGGCCTTACTTTCTAAAGGGCAATAAATAGTAGGGATGCTTTGATATTTGAGCACGCTGTCTTGAGATGCCCTTAAAGGAGCCTGATCTTCAGAGGGTCAATACTTCTCCCTTTCTGGAAGTCAAGGGTTCTCAAGCATTTCTACATTGGTGAGCAGAGTCACTCACGTTAGCGCCAAGCAACTCCCATTCTGTAGCCAGAAACAGTTCGGCCGCTTCAGAAATGGTACAGCCGTGGCAGGGTGACTCTCTGCTTGAGCTGACTACATCTTTGGAGAGGCAGGATTTACCAGATAGGGTCAGCCCTTTGTGTACACGGCAGTACAGCCCCCTGGGCTGAAGCATCTCTGCACACTCACAAAAAATCGGGCTTATTTGGTTTATCTGAAACCTTGTGAGCATGGGATCACAGCCCTTCATACTGCCAGGAGAACAAATTCAGTGAGGTACAGGTAAGCTTAGCAGTATATATGTCTCCTGTGAGGACAGGCTGAGAGAGTTGGGCTTGTTCAGCCTGGAGAAGAGATGGCTGCAGGGAGACCTGACTGCAGCCTTTCAGTACCTAAAGGGGGCCTGTAGGAAAGATGGGGAAAATCTTTTTAGTAGACACAGCTGTGACAGGACAAGGGGTAATGGTTTCAAACTAAAACAGGGTAGGTTTAGACTGGATCTAAGGAAGAAATTC